GATGGTGTAATGGTCACATTGCTGGACTCCCACATAGTGGACTGTGGTTCACATCCCAGACCCAGTGGCTTAAAACTCACACTGGGCGTGTGCACATGCATGCCCAAAAGGGCATGAGGAGAAGGGGTGGTGGCGTGGCCAACTCCCAAGGGGGTGATTTTTCGCTTTCTGTTTCTCTGTGTCTCTTTGTCTCTCTGGCCAGTGCACACACTGTAAAGTAAAACTCTCTCTCTCTCAAAAAAAAAAAAAAAAAAGGTAATCTCTGCAGAGGAATACGATTATAAATGGGCACAGAGTGAACATGAAGTCTTCCTCTCTGCCTTGTTCCGCAGTTCCGCAGTTCCTTTTTCCAGAAAGACAGTGCTATTATCAGTTCCTCTTACGTCTTTCCAGGTATACGCACACACTCCTTGTGCAAATAATAATAGCCCGCAGCATGTCATTTCTCCCATGCCCGAGGAATACGTGAAGATCCCTTGTGTGGGGGAAACTGCTCAGTGGTGCGTGGTTGTGTTCAGTTCCAGTCTGGCCAAATTGCTCTCCCAAGGGGCTTCCTCAGAGGGCATGCCTTCTCTACTCTCTTTCAACCCAGGGTATCATCAGACTCTTTACTCTTCGTTTATTTATTTTTTTTAGGTTTTCGCCTTAGAGTGCATGCAATCAGTGGAGAGAGAAAGAGTGAGAGGAGAAGGAAAGTAAGAAATCACTCCCCTCTGCGGGGCTGGGCATGCCACAATTCCTTCTTCTCCTTTCTCCTCTTGGGATTTTGGGTACACACACATGTGTGCACCTGGCATGATTTTTAAACCAGGTCTGGAACTGGAACTGTGGTTGGCCGTGTGGGAGTTCAGCACCTTAATCACCATGCCACCTTCTGGCTCAATTCTTCATTCTTTGTAGGATAAAAATTGGCACCTCAATGAAGAATTGTATTTCTCTTTTATGAACTTTGGTAGCTTTTCCTGTATCTAAAACCATTTACATTTCTCTTTGTGTGAACTATTTGGGTTCCTTATGCACTTCTCAACTTTTTTTGCTTATTTTTGTTTGTTTTTTGTTGTTGTTGTTTTTCTTTTCTGATGTTAAACTTTGGCCCCTTTCACTGTCCTGGCTTGCTGGGGTTTGTATCAGCCAATGCTACTGGAGCCCACAGTGAGAGGGTGAAGCAGACATCCTCTTCCAGATGGCAAGGATCAAAGGGCCTGGTGATCGTGGGGACATCCTGGATAGCACGTAGCAGTGTTTATCTGGATTGATGACACAAACACTGACCAGACTTGGGATGATTCGGAGGCCCATGAGGCTGATGTTAAATGCATCTCTAGACCCGTGCATTGAAGGTTTTTGTCGGTACAAACGTGTTAGTTATCTTTCCAGCTCTTAAGTAAAGAACTATATGGTGGTGGCTGTGTATTTTTCCTGCTCAATTTAGCATTTCTTCTATTTTCTGTCAGTCTTTCCATTCTAGGAAATGGGAGAAGATGCCTACTTTTTCCTGTGAGTCAGCCATGTCCAGTAATCTCTGTGTTCCAAATGGACACTTAATGTGTGTGCTCATACAGGGGAAATACCTCCAGGTGCTGTGTGCTGCCCTAAGGGCGTGTCTTTAAGGCCATGTTTCCTAAACCACGTTCATAGATGTCTTAGAGGTTTTTTACAAAGTGCCTGTGGCCATATTAGTTTTTAAAAAGCTGGTTTAAATAGAACATGTTTCTTTACTACAAGACTTCTCAGAGCTTGTAGTGTACCAGTGAGTTCACTGAGTGTCCAAGAGTGGGGAGAGGATATTGTCTTTTGGAAATGCACTTGACCACAGAACAGCGTTTTCATGGTTTTTGTGGTCTCTGATTGAAATACTGCTCAAGCAGTTAGTTCCAAACCCAGGGAAGAATCTGGAGAAGATGTCAATTTGTTTCCCCACTGATTTGTCTGAATTAGGTCAAACGAGGAGCATTACTGAAAATGGGGTTATCGATTTCTGAAATGAAGCAGAAATGCTCTGATGGTTAAATCATGGATGAAGACGTGCTGGTTACTTTCTCCACGCTCCCCAAGGTGTTATCAGAAGTGTAAAATGAGGAGCCGCAGGTCATTTCTGGCAACCCCTCGCTGCTCCTGCCTCAGGTCGGGCTCCAGGCATTGTCTGCAGCATCCAGATACAAATGGACTGGGGATAAAGATGCAGTGCTGGGAGCAGAAGGAGCAGCCAGTGGCTGGGGGCTTATCTGAAGCGAAGTTAAAGAGCTCCATGGGAGGCGAGAGGAGCAGGGTGGCAAGGCTCATTATATCCAGCTCATGGACAGGGCAGCTTATTCTTTCCTCTCGAGTATTTATGAGATTGACTTTTGTCCCTTATCATTGGCCTTTTGCTATATTTTCTAGGGGGTAAAAATCTAGAAAATGAGTCATTTTTAAAAAATGGAAAGTGCAGCAGTAACACAACCCTGTGTGAGGACGACACCACATGGGGAGGTTCTGCGTTTGCGTCCAGAGACCTCCCTGAACACACTGGGTGGGCCCATGCCCATGATCCAGGGCTACAGCTAGGTGTGGGGGATAAATAAATGAAATACCATAATGTCAAAAGTACAGTATCTTTAATTTTATCATTGAATTTCTTAACCAAAAAATGACTATGCCACACTAGTTATTGATTTCCTCTCTCTGGCTGTGTGGAGTCAGGGGTCCATCAGAACCTGGTCAAAACCAAAAAATGACTATGCCACACTAGTTGTTGATTTCCTCTCTCTGGCGGTGTGGAGTCAGGGGTCCATCAGAACCTGGTCCACCCATGTGTGTGTGTTACCCAAGGAAGCTGATAAACCGGACACTCTTGAAGAACCTAATGCCAAGAGGGGCGCTGGGTCTCTTCCTAATTTATAGGATCCTTGTCTAGCGCTTCTGTAACTATGGCATGAGGGAGGTCTATGTCTTCCTGGTCAGAGGCCAAGCAGCCCTGACCCTGGGGCAGCAGCGGGGAGGTGGAGCCTCCAAGTCCTCTCACTAGCAGAGTGGTGCTTACAGGGGTTTGAAGCCAAAATCATTGAGGAACATGTAGTTTCTAGAGCAAGGAGGATGGAGAAGCAGGACTTGGAACTCAGATGGCCAGAGTTTGTGTTCCAAATCTTCTCTTTTTTTTTTTTTTTTTTTTGAGGGATTTTTCCTATAGGGTGCATGTGCTCACCAGAGAGACAGACATAGAGAGACAGAAAGTGAGAAATCACCCCCAAGGGTACAATTCCTCATCCTCCAGTCTCCTCTTAGGATTTTGGGCACACATACACACATGTCCAGCATGCGTTTAAGCCACTGGGTCTGGGATTTGAACCATGGTCGACGACATGGATGTCCAATAACGTAACCATTACGCCATCTGCTGATCCCAGGTTCTGAATCTTCTACCCACTGGTTATGTTACTGATGCTCCCTGTGTCTCAGTTTGCCCAGCTGTCCCACTGATATACTAACTACTTAGCAGATTCTGGCCCGTAGTGAGCACAGAACCAAGTGAGCTGTGGAGCTACACAACACAGAATGGTAGACATCAAGAGTGGATGGACAAAGACAGAACAGGGTTTGGGGTGTGTGGAAATCTCTTTTCTCACTGGATGCAGCCTGCCTCCTGGTGGTCATCTCCCTTTTGGAAAGTGCCATCTGCCTGCATTTCCATAGGGTGCTGGGCAACTCCTATTGGCCATCCATTGAGCTAGAAAGGAATCAAGCCAGGGATAAGCCACAGCTCATTTGTGACTTTCACCTTTCCATTCTCGTGTCAGGTATTTTTTGATGCCAAACACTGGGAGGACCCACGAGGGATATAGGGACAAACTCGGTGTGCTTTCAGTCTCCACCAAGAGATAGTCTGGAAAGAAGAGGGCGTGGGCATCAGTGATCGTGGTGTGGAGCAGTAGCAGTCATTGCTGTCCCCTGGCTGCCTTGGTCAGGATGTAGAACAAGGGCATGGGAGAGAAGGCTGATTCTGTCTCCCCTTCTGAGGACGTACTCATTTAAACCTTAAGGTCAGGGTCAGTGCTTACTCTGTAGGAACTGTGTAGTGTCCCAACACAGAGGGACTGCTTATAGAGGAGAGGATAAGAACTGTGTGTGTACACATGTGCTCATGTGAAGTACATGCAATAAACTTTGAAAGACCACAGACATGGGTCATCATGGTGAAGCAGTTTCTAACACAGAATGATGATCAGAACTCAAAAATGTTGAATTCATCCTTGATGCCCTTTTCCTTTGATGTATTCATTTGCTAAATAGTTAATGCAATAAAAAATTTACAAAGTAAATGAGAGTGAAAAATAATCTAACTTAATTTAGCTATGACCTTCTGGAACCCTAAGGTTTTGGTTAGGGTCATATTTAGATCACTATTTTAAAATTCTAATGTTCCGTAAACACGTGGTCACTTTTTGTTAGTTATCTAGGGTTTGCTGTGACAAAGGAACAAAAACTGGGTAGCTTAACCAACAGCAGTGTACGGTCTCACAGTTCTGGAGGCTGGAAAGTCCAAAATCCAGCTATCAGCAGGGTTGATTCCTTCCGAGGACTGGGAGGAGAAGGGTTGTTCCAGTGCTTTCATCTTACAGACATCACTCTTCTTCCTGTGACTTCACGTCTTCATCCTTCTTTGTCCCAATTTCCCTTTTTTATAAGGATATCACTTGTAATAGACTGGGATCCACTCTAATGGCTATATTTTACTTTGACTCCATCTGCAATGACCAACTAAGGTTCTCTTCTGAGGTGTGGGAGTGGTTAGATTTCCACAGATGAATCTGGGGCGGTCCTACCGGCTATATTTTACCTTGACTCCATCTGCAATGACCTTGTTTCCAACTAAGGTTCTCTTCTGAGGTGTGGGAGTGGTTAGATTTCCACAGATGAATCTGGGGCGGTCCTACCAGGGAATGGAAATCTCTTTTCCCATTCACTCCTAACAGCTTGCTAATTTTCTACTTACAGACTTTTCTGTTTTTTCTTTTTTATAGAATGCACATGGCAAGTCAAAGCAAATGATCGAAAGTTCCACGAACAACCTCATTTTATGAACACAAAGTTCTTTTGTATTAAGGAAAGCAAGTATGCGGTAAGTTGATTGCTAAATTATTTTCATTTTCATTTTACTTTTTAATTTTTCTATAGGATGCATGCCCTCACCAGAGAGGGAGAGAGAGAGAAAGAAAGAAATCACTCCCCAGGGAGGATTGGCCACATTGCAATCCCTTCTTGTCCATTCTCTTCTCAGAATTTTGGGCATGCACATGCACACCCAGTGTGATTTTTCAGGCTTCTAGTCTGGGACTTGAACCACACAGGCAGCCATGTGGGAGTGCCTTAACATCCACATCACTGACTGGCCCTGTATTTTTTTTATTAAAGCCTATTTTTTCCTGTCACTGTCATGCTTGCTAGTGTCATTCTGTGCTTGCCTTCTAGATAGCCACTAGCCTGGTACTATAGCTAATCCTTGTCAGTTCTATAGAATGTCTTTTATAATGTTTCTTTATTTCTCCCATAAGTGAGAGAGAAGGGGGACAAGGGAAAACAATCCCAATAGGGTCTTGATACCTGGATCCACCCCCAGTCCTTGGCCAGCCCTGGATCACAGGCAGGTGTGTGTCTGGCATACTCAGGGAAGTTTCCAGGCATGAACCAGGAACCTTTCCACGTAGGTTTGCTTGGCGGAGGGTCATGTTTTATTGTCTGGCCTCTGGAATGTTATTTTGTTGACATTTACCCTGAAGGTGGGTAGGAGTGACTTGAAACAAACAAAAAAACAAAACTATGTAGATTGAAATTCTCCTTCCATGGTGACTTGAAACAAACAAAAAAAAAACCAAAACTATGTAGATTGAAATTCTCCTTCCATATGTGCAAAGGTCTCTTATAAAGTTTTATGGAAGATTATACGATGTCACAGAAACCTTATGGTTGAAAGTAATGAGTTTGAAAGGAATCTTAGTAACTTAGCTCCCCTTCCTCTGCCTGGGATGGATTTGGAGACTTTAAACGTTTTTTCTCCTAAAAAGATGCCATTTCCTTTGAAATGTGATAAACACTTGTAAGTGTGAGCTTGAGTCTTATAAGGGTCTTTGTTTCCTGGGGCTTCCTTAATAAAATCCCATAGCTGGATGGCGAAATACAACAGAATTCTATTGTCTCACAGTTTAGGGGGCCAGAAGTCTGTGCTCAAGGTGTGTAGGGGGCTAGTTCCTTCTGGAGGCTCGGAGGGGAGGATCTGTTCCCTGCCTCTCCCCCAGCTCCTGGTGATTGCTGGAACTTTTTGGTGCTCCTTGGCTTATAGACGATCACACCAGTCTCTGCCTCTGTCTTCACAGGCCTTCTTCCTGTGTGTCTCTCACCTAGCTTCCCTCTTGGAAGGACACCAGCCATTGGATTAGGGCCCGTCCTAATCTCACAAGCATTTATCTTGATTCTATCTGCAGAGAACCTATTTTGGAATGAGCTCCCATTCACAGATATCCGGGTCAGGACTTGAACGTACCTTTTGGGAGGATCCAAATTCAGCCCACCATGCTATCTTTTACTCTTTCTTACACAGTAGCCTCTACTTTTCCCTAACCAAGTGTTTCTTTTCCACTTTGCTTGTGTTGACAGCTGTCTTTGCCTGTTTCTAAGAGGCTCTCATGGGTCACAGAATCTGACAGCAGGGTCCATTTGGTCACAGTCTGATGTCTGTCTCTTGTTACTGTCTCTGACATAAGACTCCAGGTAGTCATTTTGAGGTTTGGCTAGAATTAAAAGCAAATTAGAAACCTCAGCATCTTCCTGATGGACAGATTGTGTCCTTGTGTCACCGTAGGCTTTGGGACTGAGTGATTTTCATGGATGCGCTTACATCATGATAAGTGTGTGGCATCTTTTAGAATGACTTTCTTATTTCTCCCCCACAGGGTAATGCAATTAAAACATACAAGTACAACGCTTTTACCTTTCTACCCATGAATTTGTTTGAGCAGTTTAAAAGAGCAGCCAACTTTTATTTCCTGGTTCTTCTTATCTTACAGGTAATGCCCTTTGATATCTTAAATCTGTTCTGAATTAGGGTGACTCAGTAGCATTTAAATTGAGTACATGCGGCATCATGGGAATAATCTTAATGTTTTCTATTACCATCAGGGTTCTGTGCGTAAGGGGATGGGGCTTCCTACACAGAACCAGCTCAATCCGTGTAAAATGCATGGCGAAAGGGAACAAATGAGGGGATAGTCCAAGTCTGTGTTTTTAAAAATTTTAATTGCATATTGTTGTACGTTAAAATCGAAATCATTGACGTGAATAACATTTAAATCTTCACTTTATGAAATTATTTTTACCTTAACATTAAATTGAGAGCCTAGCAGATTGTGTAGTAGTTAAGGTGTCGAATTCCCACATGGTTCACTGCAGTTCAGCTCCTGGACCTGATGGCTAGAAAATCATGCCAGGTGCATGTGCGTCCAAAATCCCAAAGGGAGAAAGGAGGAGAAGGGATTGCAGTGTGGTCATCCCTCCTGGGGGGTTATTTCTTATTTTCCCTCTCCCTGTCTGTCTTTGTCTCTCTCTGGTGAGTACATGTGGCCTACGGCAAAAATCTTTTTAAAAAATAATATTTTGTTCTGCTTGTCTTTTTTTTTTTTTTTTTAGATGCCTAATTTTCCCCAAGAATATATTTTGGTCATTAATCTCTCTCTCTCTTTCTCTCTTTTTTTCTCAATTGTCAGAGGGCACATGTACTGGCCAGAGAGAGACAGACAGAGAGGGGGAGAGAAAGGAAGAGGGAGAAAGCACCCCACCCTGAATGGGGCATGGTCATGCCATAATCCCTTCTAAGGAAGAGGGAGAAAGCACACCCCGCCCCCCGAATGGGGCATGGTCATGCCATAATCCCTTCTCTTCCGTTTCTCTATTCGTTCAGAATCTTGACAACACATGCACATGTTTCTGGCGTTTTTTTCAAGCTGCTAGGGCCAGGATGTGAACTGTAGCGCCATGTGGGATCCAGTTCCCTCGACCACTAAGCTACAGTTAGCTACTTGACCTTGATCACTAATCTCAAGTAGTTATTTTTGTAAACCAATTTTATATTTTAAAAGACCTATTATTTTCTATGCCAGAGGTCACATGCACTCACCAGAAAGAGGTTGGGGGGGGGGAGTAAAAGAGAGAGAAGACAACCCCCAGTGGGGTGTGGTCACACAGCAGTCCTTTTCCTCCAACTTTCCATCCTGTCAGGGTTTTGCTCATGCCCACACAAATGCCCAGTATAATTAATTTTTAAGTCTAAGGGGCCAGGACTCAAACCATGGTCAATAATGTGGGGTTCAGCTCCCAATGCACAGTGCTTAACCACTGAGTGGGGCCAACCAAAAGACCAATTTATCTTCTAAATTTGTAATTGTGGCAAAAGATTCACTTCCCTGGAGAGCATGACTTGCATCTGTTTAAGAACCACTGAAAACAATGAAAGAAATACTACATATTCTAGTTAGTGCTCAGACCTTTTTTTTTTTTTTTTTTTTTAAGAAGTTTTTGCTAGAGGAAGCATCCTCTTGTCAGAAAGACAGAGAGACAGAAAGCAAGAAATCACTTCCCGGGGGAATGGCCACACTGCAATCCCTTCTCCTCCATTCTCTTCTTGGGATCCTGGGCACGCAAGCACACTAGCCCAGGGCGAGTTTAAGTCACCAGGTCCAGGACTCAAACTGCGGTTGACTACGTGGGAGTCGAGCTACACAGCCATTACGCCAACTGCTGGTCCTGCTCAAATCTTCTTTTAAGATCTGACATGCAGGTTATGAAGGACAGTGTGGCTTTACAACAAGCAGTAGATTTGGAAATCTGTCTTCCCCACTAGGATTCACCCAATAAAGTTTTATAAAAACTGGTAACACGTGTGCCTGGGTGGGGATGGGGTAGGGTGTGTGGAGTGTAGATAAGAGAAAAAGGAGAGAAAATATTGGGGAGAAACAGACACTCAGCAGATCTGGTCAAGTATGAGACCTGCTGACCTGGTGTTAAAGGATCATGCTGTTGCCAAGGGGGCCATGTAGACAGGTGCATATCACGGTCACATCAGCAGATTATAAGGTGATGTTGTGTGCTGAGGTGGCCTCTTTCCCCTTACTTCTAGCAGGGAAGAGGGGAGCTCCTCATTTTCATTATGCAGTGGAAAATGATCTTTCTCTCTCCAGCTGCACCCCAGGGATCTTCTCTAAATGTGCAGCAATTTCAATGATAACAGTAATAGCCTTAGAGAGTACACTTTAGAGGAACTGGCATTGTTACTTCGCGTCATTCTCATACTCTGTGAGGTAGACACTCCCCGTTTTGCAGAGAACTGAAGTGCCCAGTGAGGTGAACATTGTTACTTTGCGTCATTCTCATACTCTGTGAGGTAGACATTCCCCGATTTGCAGAGAACTGAAGTGCCCAGTGAGGTGAAGTAACTTGCTCCAAGCCCCATAACCAACATGTAGCAGAGCAGAACAAGACTGGGTTCCAGGCACTTACCTCTGAAGTATCTCATTTTAACCACTGCATTTGATGGCCAGTGATTTATAGGATGGTTACAAGACATTCTACTAATTTTCTTCCCTATCTTTCATTCACACTTGGAGACTGTCTTAATGGTAGTAGGCCTTTCCACAAGGCCAGCCCCTTTCTTAGCTGGACCAATTGCAATGACTGAAGGAAACACTTTCTCTGAGAGTCCCCCGAAAAGCCTACCTAACTACTAGCTTTCAGAGTCAGCAATACCTAATGCCACCTTTGCCCTTCATGGGACCCTCGGAACTACTGGCTGAGCAGCGGGCTGAGGAGCGACTACTATGTGTTCATTCCCTAACAGCTGAAGAACTAATTCCCATGCCAATCCCCTCCACATGCAAAAAATGGAACAGTTCTCTTTCAGGTATTTTGTTACAAAACCTTCTCTGGGTCTAGCCAAGGCCGTAACTTTAGGAGTCATTGTACTCTGGACTCTGTTCTTAGTGGCCAGAAGCTAGAAAAAAGGAGAAGGCTGGCCAGATGCTATATGGAGATTGATGATGGAGATTGGACTTAGACTGATCAAGCTTAGACTTAGCAGTTGATTACTTGTAAGTTAGACATGCCTTCAAGGACACATAGTCAAGCCTTTTGATCTCTCGTAGGCAATTCCTCAAATCTCTACCCTGGCCTGGTACACAACACTTGTGCCCTTGCTTCTGGTGCTGGGCATCACTGCGATCAAAGACCTAGTGGACGATGTGGTAAGGATTTCTCCTGTAACTTTCCACTCACTGCTTTGAGCTGTGTCACTCTGAAATGATTAAATATTTCTCTTTTTCCTGCTCAAGGCTCGCCATAAAATGGATAAGGAGGTTAACAATAGGACATGTGAAGTCATTAAGGATGGCAGGTACTGTGTCTTTATTAATTTGCCACTTAGTTAAAAGGATGTAATAGATCATGTCAATATGTCTAGACACATCTTTAGATAACTATTACACATATTAGTCTGTCAGTATCTTTGCTGTTTAACACAAAGACATTGCATGCCCTTTACGGCCCCAAGGCCACGTTTGGTTATGGGCGGTTGCCTGGCTGGATTTTGTGTTATCAGCACTTCAGATATTTACACCACTCCTACCTCCACTCTGCTGATGCCATCTCCACTGTTCCAAACCTCTCCTTGGAGATTTCCTCATTTGTCTTTTTTTTTTTAACTTAATTTTAATTTTTATTTATCATGATTATTATTTTAAATTTTCTCTGTAGGGCACATGTGCTCACCAGAGAGAGAGAGAAAGGGAGAGAAAGTGAGAAAGCAAGCCATCAGGCCCAGGACTCAAACCACAGTTGGCCACGTGGGAGTCCAGTGCCTCAGTCACTGCGCCATCTGTTGGCCTTGCTCATTTGTCTTGACACCTTGCTTGGGTTTCTAAAGTAGAGATTTCCTTGTACTTAGAGAGGTTTTTGCTTTCTTCATCTTTATTATGATATGAGTTTTATTAGAATTATTTGTGTAGGTGTCTCCTCTTCTGTCCTGCCTCTAAGTTTCTTAAGGATCCTGTCCTGCCTCCAACAGGCAGAAATTACTCAGTAAATGCTTGTCAAATTAATGTAGCCAGCTGTGACCAAAGCACCTACTCAGAGATCAGTCATGTGTTGTTTTTTTAGCAAGAGCCTCAAGGCAGAACTGCAAATTCAGGTGCTAAAAATAGTGACTCGGGCCCAATTCAAAGAGTCTTTATGTGTAGACATAGAGGAAAATAACCTGATTTCACAGCTACACTTCCACTGTGTCTAATTTTATATAGACTACACCAAGATCTGCAGAGTCTTTTCCCTTGCAAACACATGGATTTTGTTTCAAAAGTATCTTTCAAATCACTTAGAATCCAAATTGTGCCTGGTGGAGAGACTCCTAGCCAGCCCACACAACTCTGGTTAGCCCACAATGTGGCTAATTACACTAGTAAGAGTGACCCCGAGAGCAGAATAGTGGTTATCAGAGGCTAGGAAGAGCAAGGGAGTGGGAAGATAGGGAGGTGTTGGTTAATGAATACAAAATTACAGTTGGGTGAGACGAAGAAGTTCTAGTGTTGAACAGCATAGTAGGGTGACTATAGTTAATAATTTGCTGTATATTTCAAAAAAATAAACAGAACATAGATTTTGTATGTTCCCAACACAAAATAGTGATAAATGTTTGATGTGATGGATAAATGAATTGCCCTGATTTGATCATTACATATTATATCTATGTATTGAAAAATCATATTGTATAGCTGTTAAGTATCAATTAAAAATAATATTTTTTAAAGATTAAGATAATAAAGAAGAGTAGCTCTGGATTGAATTGGGAGGTTGGGGGCATGTATCCAGCAGGGCAGGGTTTGTGGCCCCAGCAGTCCCCATTGTGGGGTTGAACCTGCAGGAATTTGGGCATTAATGGTGGACATAGGGATCTCAGGGGAAACTGGAAGGAAGAGGCCAGGAAGAGGCCAATGAACTTGCCTTTAATACCCCAAAGAGCTGTGACAAGAGGGGACTAGTGTGTCCATTTGTAATTTGAGACTTGTGCAGATTTCTCATCCGCAATTTTAGAAATATTGAAAGGTAAACTAACCCCCATTTCATTTATTCAAAGATAAACCAGATTTTTTTTAAAATCCTGGAGTTAGGAATTGTGAATTAAATTCTCATAAAAATAGGGAAACTAGAAACTAAGCATACAAAGGTATATATTTTAAATCTTTATAAATGAATGGGAGACAGAGTCCAGGTTGAACACCCCTAATCTGAAGATCTGAAGTCTGGAATACTTCGAAATTTGAAACTTTTCAAGCACTGCATGACCCCCACAAGTAGAAAATTTCACACCAGACTTTATGGAATGGATCACAATCAAAACATTACAATACAAAAGTATTGTATAAAATTACTTTCAGCCTCTATGTATAAGGTATATATGAAAGATAAAAGAATTTTGTGTTTCAACAAGGGCCCTATCTCCAGATATCTCATTGTTTATGTACAAATATTCCAACCTCCCAAAAAAGTCCAAAATCTGAAATCTTTAAGGACCCATTTTGAACAAGGAATATTCAACCTGTAATTAGATATCTACCTCCAAATAACAACAACAACAACAATAATAATAATGTTTAATAGTTATGGTAGGTTTGGGACCAGCAGTTAGCGTAATGGCTATGTTGCTAAACTCACATGTAGTCGATCATGGTTCGAGTCCCAGACCCGGTGACTTAAAACTCACGCTGGCGCTTGTGCCCGTGTGCCCAAGATCCCAAGAGGAGAATGGAGGAGAAGGGATTGTGGCATGGCTATCCTCCCTGGGGTGTGATTTCTTGCTTTCTGTCTTTCTGTCTCTCTCTGTCTTTCTGGCGAGCGCACACACCCTATGGCAAAAAAACTCTCCAAAAAAAAATAAATAAATAAGTAGTATGGTAGGTTCATAATTTCCATTACGTATATCTTTTCTATATGTGAAAATCTTTTTTCTATTACTGTTATTTTTCTTTTTTTACATTTTTGCCTTAGGGCATGTGTGCTCATGGGAGAGACAGGGAAAGTGAGAAGCAGGGAATGGCCGTGCCACAACCCCTTCTTCATTCATCTCTCAGAACCCTAGGCATGCACGCATACGCCCCATGTATCTCCTAAGACACCAGGTCCAAGACTTGAATCAGGAAGTTAGCCATGTGGAAGTCCGTGCCACCTGCTGGCCCCTATATGTGAAAATCTTTAAAACAGTACTATAGTTTAAAACTCTTCAAAATGTTGATATGTTAAAAATTTATGTGGGGGACCAGCAGTTGGCATAATGGCTATGTTGCTGGACTCCCATGTAGTCTCAAAAAAAGAAAAAAAAAAGATCTGGGAGGACTGGTCCTACAGTGTAGCAGTTAAACACAGTGCATCAGAAGCCAACCTCACTTGTGACCATGGTTCAAATCCCATCACTTGTGGCTTGAAAAACATGCCAGGCATCCCCCAAATCCTGATGAGATGTGCAACTGCAGGAAAAGAGATTGCAGTAAACTCACACCCCATTAGGCAGTGTTTTCTCTCGTCTCTCTCTCTCTCACGCACATCCCCTCTGACAAAAAAAAGACTTTATTTTTGGAGAGGTTTTTGCTATAGGGCGCGTGCACTCGCCAGAAAGACAGAGACAGAGTGACAGAAAGTGAGAAAGCCCCCCCCACATGGCCACACTGCAATCCCTTCTCCTCCATTCTCCTCTCAGGATTTTGGGCACACATGCACACGTGCCTGATGTGAGTTTAAGCCACCAGGTCCTGGATTCGAACCACGGACAACTACATGGGAGTCTAGTGATGTAGCCATTAAGCAATCTGCTGGTCCCAGAAAAAAACTTTTTTAATAATACAGAAATTTAAATGGATGTTTCCTATGGAATTTAGTATCAAAAGTGTTCATCTTTTAATTTTATTGTACATCATATTAGTATCTTTATCCACCTTCTTGTAAAAATGGTACATACTCAGTAATAAGATAACTTAAATAGTAGAGAGTAGGGAAGAACTAAAGCCCCCTGAGAACTCAGAGTGGCCCAGGAGGGAGCCATGTTATATTCCCGTCCTGGGACTAGCTCCACCTTGGTCTGTTTGTGTGTTGCTAGAACAGAATACCTTGGGCTGGGTAATACATAAAGAAATGAAAGTTCTTTGGCTCACAGTTCTGGGGTCTGGAAAGAACACATCAGAGTCATTGCTATTATCGTTGCTCCTTTAGAGGATTGTATGGTTCTTGTGACTCTTTTTGTTTTTTTAAGAATTGTTTTATTTAACTTTATTTATTTATTTTAATTTGACCAGAGAGGGACAGAGAAAGAGAGAAAGAAAGTAAGAAAGCAAGCCACCAGGTCCAGGATTCGAACTGCAGTTGGCCATGTGGGAGTCCAGCACCCTTAACCACTATACCACCTGCTTGCCCCTCTCATGACTCTCAATATGGCTACTTCATTAAAAGAGAGAGCTATTAGCAAACATTTTCTCTTTGATTCATACATTTTCCAGAACCATTGACTTCCAGAAAAAAATGCTAATCTCCTTTCCTGTAACTTAGAAAACCAATAAGCTCTCATTATTTTTTAATACTCAGGTTCAAAATTACCAAGTGGAAAGAAATTCAAGTTGGAGATGTCATTCGTCTGAAAAAAAATGATTTTATTCCAGTAAGTGAACAAGCTCTGCTTCTCTTGTCCCTAGTTCTGACTCTGCCCCTCCCGCCCCCACCTTAGTGCTCCATTTCACCCCAGGGGCCTCTACGTGACCAGTGTGTTTTGTTCTGGACAGGCTGACATCCTGCTGCTGTCCAGCTCCGAACCAAACAGCCTCTGCTATGTGGAAACAGCCGAACTAGATGGGTAAGGCTAGGTACATTCATGAGGTTGAAATCTTTACTTCCTGCCAAAAAGTCCTGGGATCTGGTCTCACCTCTGCTACTGGCAGGCTATCCAACAGTGTCCCTGATGAAGTGACCTCTCCCTTTGTCCCCTATGTATTAAGTGCAGCTTTTAATATCAGCCCTTTTCCACCTCTCGGGAAGGGAAAAGGATCAAACAGGAGAGTGTGTGCCTGAGCCCTTTATAAACTGCTGTGCAGAAATGTGAGGGGACTTCAGAACATCTGCAATGGGGTCAGCAGGTGGTGTGGTGGTTAAGGTGCTGAACTCCCACATGGCTGACCATGTTCAAGTCCTAGACTTGGCAACCTGCTTTCTCACTTTCCCTTTCTCTCTATATCTTTATTGGGTCAAATTAAAAAATAATATATACAACTAAGTGAATAATTCTTTTAAAAATAACAAATGAAAGTAAATATTTTTTTAAATATCTGCAGAAAAATGTAAAGTATGAGGTTTCTTTTGTGTGAGAACAAATTTTTGAAATTCATGCATAGTTTTTTCACAATACGTGTTTTCAATAAACTTTTTGAAGATCTTTTATATGAATGACTATATTATTATGTTTCAGAGGAAAAAAAAGATTTTTAAAGTTTTGACAGTAGGCAATTTTGAATTTTCCCTTTGTTGGTTTTGTTATCATGCTACCATTTAGAATAAAGGTGTGGGGCCAGCAGGTAGCATTGTGGTTAAGGTGCTGGAATTCCCACATGGCCGGCCATGGTTCGGGTCCTGGACCTGGCGGCTTGCTTTCTCACTCTCACTCTCTCTCTCTCTCTGTCTTCCTCTGCCAAAATTCATGTGAAAAAAATAATATTAACAACAATAATAATAATAAATAAATATTTCTTTAAAAAAAAAAGTGTGTTTGTCACTGGTTTCCAGTGCATTTATCCAGTGCTTACGGGTTGCAGGCACATTACATAGTAGCTCATTTAATCCTCTCAACAGTCCTTTGAGTTATCCTTAAAATCTTTAAAACAGAGGATTGTAGTTTAAAACTTAACTCCTGGGGTTGGCAGGTGGCATGTACAAGGTGGTTAAGGCACTGGATTCCCACGTGTCTAACCACTGGACCTGGTGGCTCACTTGTTTGCGCTCTCGCTCGCTCTCTGTCCCTATCTCTCTGTCCCTATCTGGCCAAATTGAAATAAATAAATAAATGTTAAATAAAGTAATTCTTTAAAAAACAAAAACTTGAATACTGACCTGATAGAAACTTAAATAGCAAAGATGGCCATCCTTTTGACTAGTTTTCAGTGCGTTTATTGAGTGCTTACCAAGTCACAGGCAGGTTACATATTAGCTCATTTAATCCTCACAACGGCCCTGAGAGTTGAGCCTTATTTCCTCTCTGAAGCCTAAGAGGTGACATAGCCTAGCCAAGACCACACAACAAGCAGCCAGATTGGGACCCCCCTCCCTGAGCTCCCTGTTCTCAGCTCCTGGACGTGGATTCATTGCTTCTGGGAGAGCCAAAATCACAGGAGTGAAAGCTAGTCTTATTTTTTGCTTTGTAGATCAGACATTTGCCTGTTCAGTCTTAACTATAAAACAGCAATTTTTCCCATGAGTGAGAGATTCTAAAGCGTTATGAAGACATAAAATCCCAACTTACCCTATCGAAGAAGAATTAAGGAAGTTGAGAACCACTGTTCAAAAGTAATGTATGGAGATTCCCAAGTGTGTGTTCATGAATCCTGTAAGAGGCCACCCATTATCTTAAGGGCCTTGCTCTTAAGAGCACGTCTCAGCCTGCCCCTCCTGGGCATGTCCATGCAGAGAGCCTGTCCCTGGTACTGGGCAAGGCATGCCAAGTATCAGAGGTGGGGCTACTACTTCCTTTCCTCAATCAGGTTATCTTTCAAAAACATGATATCCAGTTATTCACTCTGAAAACATTTAAGTTGATAGAGGCTAGACAGAATTTCTGTGACAAGTATGTTTTACTTTTTTTGGCCTTTTTTGTTTCTTGTTGTTATTGGTTGTTTTTGAGATTTTTGCTATTGGGCACGTGCGCTCACCAAAGAGACTGAAAGAGACAGAGAGAAAGCGAGAAATCCCCCCTCCCGGGGGGAATAGCCATACTGCAATCCCTTCTCCATCCTCCTTCCAGGATTATAGGCACACATGTACATGTACCAAGTGTGAGTTTCAAGCCTCTAAGTCTGGGATTCGAGCCATGGTTGACCATGTGGGAGTTCAACACCTTAGCCAGTATATCACCTGCTGACCTGTGACAGGTATGTTTTAAATAACCACTGTAGCATGATTAAAAATTAGAAGCTATCATTTTAATCAGCAGTTTGGTAGTCCAGGCTGGTTAAGTTAATAAGCAGAAGGCTTGCAGGTACCCCTGTCCTAAACTTCATGAACCTTCTAGCAATTAAAAAAAAAGAAAAAGAAAAGGAAAGAAAGCAAGCAAGAAAGAAAAGAAAGCAAAAGCTAACTATCAGGTCATCAGAAAAGTTATGACACATTTCTGCATATACCAACTTGGAAATAGATGTCGTGACTTTTCCGATGACCCAGTATTTAGCATTTACTTCCAGGTATGCCTCATGTCATTTGGTGTTATTTTCTTTCTATTCTCTCTCAAACTCCAAAATTGGTTTTATTTTTTTTTCTCCTTCCTTTTAGAGAAACCAATTTAAAATTCAAAATGGCCCTTGAAATCACACATCAGCATCTCCAAAAAGAAGATACATTGGCAAAATTCGATGGTTTGTACAAATCCTGTCTGTCTTTGTTTTAAACTTTAGCTCCGTGTCTCAGTTCCTACAGAGTAAAGCCAGAAAATCTTTAATAGGTGATTAATTGTGCAACTCATGTCTTTTTAAAGGTTTTATTGAATGCGAAGAACCCAATAACCGACTAGATAAGTTCGCAGGCACATTACTTTGGAGAAACACAAGATTCCCTTTAGATGCTGATAAAATTTTGTTACGTGGCTGTGTAATTAGGAATACCGATATCTGCCATGGACTGGTCATTTTCGCAGGTACTTTTGAAGTTTCTTGGGAAATTGAACTGCTGGGAGCTTTAAAGATTAAGAGTGAAGGAATTGCTTTTCTGTCCTTTCTTCATCGAGATCAGAAGGAGAGTGTTTTTATTGATAGGCTAATGTATTGATTTTCTCAGTCATTGATCACATCTAATTTTTCCATTTTTAGGTGCTGACACTAAAATAATGAAGAATAGTGGGAAAACCAAATTTAAAAGAACTAAAATTGATTACTTGATGAACTACATGGTTTACACGGTATTTATTTTCCATTTTAATAGATGAGAGGTTGCTTTGTCTTTTGCTCTAATTTGTTGTATGTTTTATTTTTTCTTTTTTTTGGAGAGGTTTTCGCTACAGGGCACGTGCGCTCGTCAGACAGAGAGAGACATAGAGACAGAAAGCGAGAAATCACCCCCCAGGGGGGATGGTCACGCCGCAATCCCTTCTCCTCCCATCTCTTCTCGGGATCTTTGGCACACACGCACACGTGCCTGGCGTGAGTTTTAAACCACCGGGTCCGGGACGCGAACCGCGGTCGACTATGTGGGAGTCCAGCGACATAGCCGTTACGCTAACTGCTGGTTCCCAAATATTTGTTGTGTTTTTCTAATGCAAAGAAATCTTCCCAAGGTCAGTCAGGTGGCATGATGGTTAAGGCAGCTGGATCTTACATGGCCAACTGTGTGGTTCAAGTCCTAAATCTGGCAGTGTGAAAACACGCTGGGCATGTGTGCGTGCATGTCCACAATACTGAGCAGAGAAGGGAAGAGAAAGGACTGCGCATGTGCATCCTGTGTGCTTTCTCACTTTCTCTTTCTCCATCTCTCTGGCAAGCACATGTCCTTATAGCAAATTTTAAAAAAGAAAAAGGAGGAGGAGAAGGAGCAGGAGCAAAAGGAGAAGAAATCTTCTTTAAGTTTAGTAGAAAAATACTTGGGTGCTCTAAGATCGAATGGGAGCAAAAGGAATTCCTGAGTGTTTGGGTGACTAGAGTGACCAGTTGGGAAACCAGTTAATCCTAGGTAAGCTGTTAAGGCTGAGCTTCTGAAGTCAACGAAGGATTGATTTTACTGCCGTTAGTTTCCCATGAGGATAGTTTTCTCAGAAGCAAACCTTACCCCACTTCCCAACATACACTATCTAAATCCAAGTAGAAAAGGGTCCCCAAGAGGGACCAGCAGTTAGCGTAATGACTATGTCGCTGGACTCCCATGTAGTTGACCATGGTTTGCGTCCCGGACCCGGTGGCTTAAAACTCATGCCGGGCGTGTGTGCATGCGTGCCCAAGATCCTGAGAGGAGAACAGAGGAGAAGGGATTGCAGCATGGCCATCCCCCCTAGGGGGTGATTTCTCACTTTCTGTCTCTCTGTCTCTGTCTGTCTGGCGAGCACAC